CAGTTGAAGCCACTAGATGCGGCGCTGCTACGTTGTTCATTCATATATTGCGGAAAACGAGAGCATCAGTGTGGAGAAGATGTTGTTTACGTCAAAACTGAAACCAAGCCGTTCACACAGAACACATATTTATCACATTTTCTAGAGGGACATCTATCACCGTTGCACTCGCGTCTCGCAGAGAGCGGCATGTTTAGAAAGCCATGTAAAATTAATGCTAGTTCAACTTTTAAAAAACATGTCTAAAGAAGTTATGGCGGTTTTCCCCATCCCACTGTATCTTAGGGCTGCACAATTAATCGAACGCGATTGTCATGTGCATTTTGATAGTAATGCCGGTTCTGTAATTAGCAGGAAATCATCATCACATGCTTTCAGATGGAGCAGTATTTACTACACAGAGCCGTAGTCTTTATTAATTATATATGGTTTATAAACATTATTTGAAACATTATGCACTTTTTTTCAAAGACAGTCGTGTTATGTTATTACGCTTTGAAGAAACGTGCATAATATTTTTCTCGATGCGCCCTCTTGTGGCCTCAGGAGAGAAGCCAAAAGCTTTTTTCCCCCCTAACTGAAATTATGCCTTTTAAATTCGAATAGAATTCGGATTTTGATCATATTTAAGTAGAAAATTCGAATTTAGTTTTTTTGTCATTTTGACAGCCCTAAATCTCACTGGTCAAAAATGATGAGAGCATATTAAAAAATATCTTCATTTGTGTTCTTCTGAATATAAATAAAAGTCTTATGGGTTTGAGGGTGAGTAAATGACAGAAATCTCATATTTGGGTGAACTATCTCTTTAAAGGATGTCTCTAAATGTCCATGAAAAGCTTGAAATGTATTCAAAATATGTTTGACTGGAGTGGCAGTGGAATGAAAGACAAAATCAAAAGCAGATTTTGAAAGCCCAGTTTTGTCGAGACGTACAAAATACCAGTTCAAATTTCATGAGATGTAGATCAAGTCAACATGGTCATAAAGTGCAAGTATCTGAGGAAATCACAATGCATTGCTCTCCACAGTCAACAGCTATGTTTGCAACAGAAACATATTCTATGGCAAAATATAAAATATCATGTCATACTTGCATATCAAATACAAAAATCACACTCGGTTGTAGACTTTCCCTATAACATTAAAAAAAGGCAGGATGCTTTGGGTCTCCCGCGAGACATAGTGACTCCAAATGTGCTTACAGGCAATAATAACTTGTGTAATGCATTCAGATCTCTCTGCACGGAGGTCATGACATGCACATATGACAGCCGCTTTACTCTCTCAGCTCTGATAACATTCTCTGTCTTTGCATTGTGAGCCGTAACGCTAAGATGTAGCTTAAAATTCCTCTGACGCCATAACTAGGTTTGAGTTCCCGATACCCTGATTAAGACCCTATTAGGACTCCTCTGCTGACATCTCAGAGCATCAGTGAGGGGAATGACTCCAAATCTGCTTAAGAGACCTAAAGCTGATGACTCATGTAATGCATCCTGTGCATTCAGAACTTTCCACATGCTCAGCTCCAGAACCACAATGGGCTGCACGCAAGTTACAGAAACATTTTTAAAGGAATTACTGTTGGCATATGCTCACATTTATGTCACTCTGTAGAATATGGAATTAGGAATCATGTAGAATGTTTACAATGCTCTTTTCCATACTACAAAAGCATAAAAATGATGGCTGAATATTAATAATAATTAGTGCTGTCAAGCGATTAATCGCGATTAATCGCATTCAAAATAAACGTTTTTGTTTACATAATATATGTGTGTGTACTGTGTATATTTATTATGTATATATAAATACACACACATTTCGAAAATATGTATTATGTATATGTGTATGTGTAATATGTATTTACATCTATATATTTATATTCATATAATGTATATTATATATAAAAATATTTAAAATATAAACAACTTATTTTTCTTAAATATATACATGCATGCGTGTGTATTTATATATACATAATAAATATACACAGTACACACGCATATATTATGTAAACAAAAACTTTTATTTTGAATGCGATTAATCATTTGACAGCACTAATAATAATAATAAGTGAAAAAGGAGTCTGGGCCTAATATTATTTTAAGTTCTATGGCAGAAATTGGGTTTGGAACAACATTAAAGTGAGTAAATGATGAAAGTTATTACGGAACTTGTATATTTTGTGATCTCTTGCTTTAATAATCAAAAGACATAAATATGGCTTATAAAACAAAAGAATCAATACAGTTTGGCATCATGTCAAACCTGCTGTTGACAGGCTACATACAGGTTTAGGGCGAGATCTTCAATGAATAATGATTTAAATTTTAAACTGTTCCTCACTAAAATTAACACATGATTTCAGAACATTTGTAAAACGTATTCACGAGTCATTTGATTTACTTTAATGCTACTTTTATGGCTGTTTTTGTCACTTTTTGGAGCTTTGACATCTCTAGCCTCCATCCACTTTCACTATGTGGAAAAGAGCAGCTTTGACATTCTGCTAAACGTCTCCTTTATACTTCCACAGAAGAAACTAGGTCATACAGGTCCGTAGCACCACGGGGGTAGGTAAATGATCACCAAATTTAATTCTGGTGTTAAAAATCTAAGTAAACCTCCTCTGCTGAGGCAGCACAGCTCCCTCCATGCAGTCAGCAAATATCCAGATGACGCATGAGCGACGCCAGAGGCTCAGAGTCAACAAGGCATCATTATTTCTTTATTTTCTCAGTCATAGACCATAAAAGCATCCCCAGCACAAACATTTCATTAGCTGTTTGAACGCATAAAGTCGCTTACCCTCCGCCACAGTCTCCTCCACGGTCACTTGATATCGTCCGATGGAGAAAACGCGTCCGATAAACGCGCCGGACCCCGCGCCGCCCCCCGCAGCGGCTCCAGACGCGGGTCCAGAGCTCACCATCTCCCGACGGGCATCGAAGAACTTCTTCATTGTCCAACCGGCAACACTTTAATACTCATTAAACCATGAAAAACCGCCAGGCTCTCGCGCGCGCGTCGCTCTCCAGCCGGTGGGATGCGCAAAATACAGAGAAAGCGCGACAATCTCTCAATATAATACAGTCCGGATGGAGACTCCGAGCTCAGCGGACCTTCATCACAATATCAACCAAGTGTTATAGACCCAAAACAACTCGTACTATATCAGAGCGGCAGGATGAGTCACCATTGGCATATCTTCATGCTCAAAACGGCAGCTTTTCATAAGAGATGAGATGAGTGGCAGCAGGGAAGCAGCTTTATCCGGGAATCCTTCTGCCACGCTGTCTTTAACCGTGCACTGCGATTACCGGGAGCACAGCCGTCAGGAGTCGCTCGCTCCTCTCCGTTTGCTCATTCAGTCATCACAGCTGATCCTCAGGAAAAGACGCTTGCTCGGAACCCGGAAGTGCAACGGATAGGCAGGGAAACAGCCGGTTGTGAGTGATAGCGTTCGCTCATTGCCGGCTGACGGGGTTAAGTTAGGAGAGCAGCCGTACACCGGCTGAGAAGAGGAGTAACGTTAAAGCGCGCGTTAGCACGGACTCGGTCGTGACGCTCCGGTAGTCGTAGTTCCACGGTACGCGGTGACGTCAGCGGGGACGTTTCCGATAACAGCCACTAGGCCGCAAAATTACTGTTATAACATCAAATAAAATTTTAACACATCAAATTTGAAATATAATGACATAGTTGACGTTAAATTTATGAGAAACTCGTATAATGGAATAAAAGTATTATTTCGATGCATTTTGCCAGAACGACACGATGGCTGTGACATTGCTGCGCCCTACAGGCAAATGTCTTTCTCTACAATACCACAAAACTAAGTCTGGAAGTGCTCTAAAAAATTGGTGTGGAAAGAGTTTTCACTCAGAAATTGATAGTAAATTTCACAAACAATTACAAAGAAACAAGAATTTACCAATTGAATTAAACATGACATTTTGAAGTAGAAGAGAAAAAAAAACTGGTGTTTTGCTATCTAATGCAATGACATTCTTGCATTTTTAAGTGGAAGTGTCTTTTCGGAGCTTCTGTACTATATTTGCAAATGTAAAGTGTTGTAAGATGGTGTTTATCTCAGCACTACAAAAGCTTATAGTTCTTCTCCGTGCATTACAAATTAATATTTGTATGCACCATTACATTTTACCTTATCTTCATTTCTGACTAACCCAGACATAGTATTCTGTAGAATCATAATTACATTTTATTTTTGAAGGTCTCCTTGTTACAGTATATATATATTATGTATTTATTATAGGGTTAGGGTTTGGTTTAGGGCTGGCTGCATGTAATTATGCATTATTTACTGTTTAACAAGGACATCGTTAAAAAATAATTACTGATACAACTCAATTCATTAAATAATTAAATGTAATTAAAATTAAACAATAAAAAAAGTAATGAGCAGTGAAGGGACACAGCCTTTTAATTGCATTTGGAGTGAAAAATGTACACTTAGTTATTAAAATCATCTTGTTTTCTCTTAACCAGCAGCACAAGAAAACATAAAACATGCAATGTCTTTAATCAGGAATTAACAAATCTATTATTTTGCTGTAATGAAGATTAATTTAATACAGTAAAAATGCCATTGTCCAAAAAAAAAAACTCAAACATGCTAACCATTCAAAATATATATATACATTTTAATATATCTCCCCCTCCAAAAAAAAAAAAAAAAGCACTTTAATAGGAAAATGTATCTCATCTCCAATGATTACTTAAGTTATAGAAGTTCTTTCCATTTGCCTTTTTTAAAAAACAAAAAATCTATACTAGTAGTTATGGCCCAGCACAAAAAACAAAAAAACTTCAACCCTCTCCATCCATTTGTAATAGTTATAGCACTCAACTTTATGTTTCCTCTGTAAAAGAAAAAAAGAGAGAAAGTTTTTACTGGGAATGCTTAAACGATAAAAACATACAGACAATATTTTTGAATCATACTATTTTAATGGAATGCACGCTTGCTTTAAAAAACCTGATGTACAAGGTGAGGGGGTTTTAAACTACTGAAGAATAACTTACAAACAGCAAGAATGGATGTGATTAAGGTGGGCAACTATGTACAAAAATGAAATACAATGCTACAGCACATTAAGAGAATTACAAATGTTCATAAAAGGCAAATATTAACATATGGCAAGATGGAACCTATGATCGATAACGCTCCCCTCTCACGGAAGCGTCTTATGTTCATCTGAATACTGAATCTAATGATATTAACTATGGAGGACACCAAACGTACCACGGTATGAATATTAAACGCTCTCTCTCATCACGGGGGTCATAAAATGATCAAATGTGGCTTTTTTTCCCCATCAATATTAATTATACACTCTTCCCACTATTTTAGATTATATTCCCATGTTCATAAATAATCATGTAGCAGTCCACTTCTCACCCTCATTTAATTCCAAACCAATAAGATTTTTCCACTAGTGAAACGCAAAATGAGATAATATTCATGCTGCTATTTTCCATAACATTAAAGCTATGGAAAAGAGCAGCACGTGTATTCTGCTAAATATCATCATCTTTTGTTTTCCACTGAAAAAAGCCATATTGATTGAAAATGACACGAAGGTGGGTATATGATTGAAAAATGAGCATTTCCAAGTGAACTACCATTTTAAAATCTCTACTGGAGAAGACAGTCTATCAAATCCTCTAGGTTTGAAGAAGAATGGGGGGGACCACTGAGAAAATAATGAGTCAAATCTCATACTTAGTTGTCCAAATATATTAAAATTTGCCAGTGTAGAAGCTCTCAACAGCATTTCTCAAAGGCCCAAACGCTTAAAGGCAGCATTACAGTATCCATGTCGCTCAAAAGTTTCAACAGGCTTGGCTTTTCCTTACTCAGAAAAAGAAAGAAAGCAAAAGAGAGAGAAAAAAAAAAAACCTCAACCCCCTTTACGCACCATTCTTCATCGATAACTTTAATTTCAGGAAGGGGAATTTTAACTAGCAAAGGTTTTCGCTGTGTCTTCCTTGCCTCTGTAAGTCCTCTTCCCATGTGTGAAGGGCAGGTATCTATACTTGATCATGTGCTGCAGAGGAAACACAAACAGTGTCAAAGAACTTCAGTTTCACTGCAAATGAAACTCTATTTTTAGATAACTCAGCTTTGTGAACTAAAATAGCTGGGAAAGAAAAGCTTCCACTTCCGAACCTTGATCTGCCGTTTCATGGTGATGCAGAACAGCATGATGAAATACATTACGAGGATGGGCCAGAACACTGGCACGTTGAAGGCTTCGAAGAATGTGCAAATCATAGCGATGATGATGCCTTTCGTCGCTGAATGCCTGAAACATCAACCAAAAACAAGGCACACAGAAATCAACGCACTCGGAAGGAATATACAACACATTTATGTAATGTGAACATCAAAGAAACAGAGAAAATAACTAAAGAAATCCAGGAGTCTTTGAAAACACAATCTAATAAATACGGAGTTCTGGCATGAAACTCTAGATGGCGCAGTCCGATAGGTCTAACTCAATCTGACCTAATGGCATCATTCACAGCTGATTGGCTCTCTCCTGTATCGGTAGCCAATGAGCTCGCTGCTCAACATTCAAATATATACCGGACAAATGGTTGGCACTGGTTGATCAGAGCTGTATTAATTAAACATGCTGATTCACAAATAGTTCTGCTGTAAATACAGAGAAACCCTCCACCTTCCCCAGCTCCACCTGTATAGATCTGCTACGAGGTGATTCATGTGCGCTATATGGGGGTTATTTCATGTATGTTATATTTGCAGCAGCAATATTTCTTACATGCTCACAGCAGCATTTTGTGGATGTATTGGCAGTATCTCTTGCTCTGCCGCAAGATCAAATACATTAACATTGTCATGTACATTACCATGCCAATCCCTCCGAGAGTGGTCATGACAGAAAGCTATTTACAAAGGATGATCGATATTTGGCATTACCATTGAATTTGCTGATAAGTCCTCCTTTTATTTTGACTGAACTGAGGCTAGGGCAGCATTACAATGGGTAAACGCTTAATCACGGTTAGTTAGTTATTTTTTTCATTATCAATTACTGCGCTTTCGAAAAAATCAAGAGAATATCTACTTGAAAGTCTTGCAATCGCAATCATGAAAGCATAGAGGCTTGTTACCAATGCAAAACAACGCAAATGCCAAATGAAAATGAAGCGTTTTCAGGACAAATAACTTTATTTTGAAAGTAACGATCGTCAAATAAATATTAAATTTACTGTGGCAATACTGTACATGTGTTAATATCTTTTAATAACATTTTAGATCACAGATCAGCTGTATATCGCCACCCTGCTCTTTAAATAACTCATATTGGTCAACCACTATGGCCCAATGGAATAAGGTTTTATTTCTTCCTACATAATGTGTTTTCCATTGAATTTTTTTCTGGATTCAGTTTTAATGGCTGAGTTAAATTTGTATACTACGAAAGATGTCTAATCAATTGAATTAAAACAACTTTAATAATTTAATAACTTGAATTTCATAATTACAATTTTAACAATAATAGTGCCCCGTCTTATTTTTCATAAATTCTGTGTTTCATGATGAATTATGATGCGATTTATGAACACAAATTATTATACAACAATTCATCTTTTAAAATATATTCAAATTAAATTTGAACAATTCTTTTTATTCTTTGGCAAAAAAAATGCTGCTTAAATAATTGTGATATTGTGTGATATTCCTTTAAAAAAAAAAAAAAGTAAGTATTAATAAGTATTATTGTTACTTTGAAGAGTACATTCTACTGTACAATAGTAATAGATTTCAGTCACAGTTTATTGTAAAACTCATTCAACACAAAGACATCAGCCCTACTTTTAATGTATTCATCCAAATTTTGCCAAATTCTGATACAATCTGCATTGTACAGTAAATTCCATTTTTTATGACTGTATGCTGTGGTTCCGTCCATGAGTAAAAATCACAGCATTTATCGTTTCTACTTGTCACTGGATCAAACTGATCCACTCATTATTCTCGACTCATCAAGTACAAACATTTCGTCATCATTTACTTACCCTCGTGTTTTTCCCCCACCTGTACGAATTTCTTTCTTCTGTAAAACACCAAGATGTTTTGAATAACGTTGGTAACGAAACTGTTGCTGGTAGCCATTGAAGAAAAATACTAAGGACGTCAATGGCTACCAGCAGCTGTTTGTGCTCAGCAGCAGAACGAAACTAACTCATACAGGTTTGGAACAACACGAGGGTGAGTAAATTATGACAGAACTATTAATTTAAACTCCATAATGTGACAACTTACCAGAATTTGAATTCGGGCAACCTCCTGATGAACGGCCGGAACTCTTCATTCTGTTTTGTGGGTAGTGCTGGACCCTCATCTAATGAAGAGACACTGATTAGGGGAAGGGAGAAAAAAATCCCCTCCACAATGCAAATATCAGTGAGGACAGTAAGATTTGCTTAAATCCCGGTCCTACCTGGATCATCAAGCAACGAGGGATCCACTTTTGGTGAGAGGAAAGCAATGAAGAGGTTTAGGTGGTAGATCCCAAGAGCATATGTGACTATGTACCACCCCTAATAAAAGACAGAAGGGTTTCGTTACATTTGATTCACCTTTTGTAATAAAA